CAACAGGGGCGCGGAGGGCAAAGCGGAGAGATTCCCGCACAGAGGATCGGCGCCGACCGGCGCTCACCAGCCCGAGAGGCTCCCGGGCCCCCCCCCCCGGGGGGGGGGGGGGCGGCGGGCGTTGAGCAGGAGGCCTTGGACAGGGTCAGATTAAGGATGTAGGAAAGCTGACGCTGCAGTGAGGATGCTCTGCCCCTGGGGGGTGAGGGCAGGGACAGGGACCACAGGGGACCCTGCCCAATTGCTATGAGCAGCGCCATCAGCCACCAGTGCTGGGCCCTCAGTTCCAGGTCAGGCCGGGATGGTGGTGCGGGGGAATCTGTTGTGACTCCAGGAGATGTCGGCTCTCCCCTACCTGGGCTCAGAGCTGGGAGCCTAGCTGAGGCCTCCTGTTTGCTTCCTTATCTAGAAGAGGGGGCTTAAGGTCCATGTGATACCCCAGCCCCTTGTAACTGCTCACCATTTGGGGGCTACACCTGGGAGGTGGACAGGGAGGGGGCCAGAGAGCCCTGCTCAAGGGCCCGTTATTGGTGAGAGTTTCCACAGAAGCCCCACCTATCACCCTGGCAGGTCAGAGGTCAGAGATACATTGGGGCTGCTCACTGGGGCCAGGGGAGCTACGTGGAGAGCACCCCCCTCTCCCCCCCTCCCCCCGTCTCCTGGGTGTTGGGACTGTAGGGAGTGTCCGGGAAGCAGGCCATACTGCCCAGCTCCTCAGGCGTGTGCAGGACGGCCCTGACTGGGCGTCCGCTGGCCAGGACCCTCACATATCACCGTGGCCCCCAGCCCTTCTGCCACCTCCCCGCTCGCCCAGGCCTAGCCTTGGGAAGGGAAGGACGGGGCTGGTGCTGGTGCCCGGGTGGGCTGGGGCGGGCCCTAGAGGAAGGAGCTGCTTGACTCAGAGTTACAGGAAGAGTGGGGCAGGCGGGGCTGGCGGGGAGAAACACCAACTGCGCCCCGCCCACCAGCCCCCTGGAGAGGAGGGTGGGTGCCTGGGTGGGGTTTAGGTTGAGGAGAGGATGTGACTGCAAAGCCAGGAAGCTACGGGGAAAGTTCTTATTAAAACGCACAAACAAAAGCCAGGTCCTCGCCGTGCTTGGCAATGTGTCTGGGGCAGCCGTGGTGATTTGGACTGGGCCGAGGGCCCAGCTGAGCAGAGTTTGCTCCCAAGCACACGTGAATGACCTCAGTGACGGACATCCCCTCCTCGGGAGGAAAGAGCTGGAACCAGGTGACTTCGTGTCCTCGCTGCTCCGCGTGAGCCTGTGTTCTTGTCCTTGGATGCCTTTTCCGGCCTGAGCCCTCTCCTCGAAATCAGGCCTGGCTGAGGGGAGGCCCGCAAAGCACGTGGCTTGCGTGTGCACGTGTGTGCCAGTGAGAGAGCGAGGGGCTATGGGGGGCTGAGGGTGGGTGTGAGGTGCAGTGTGTGTGGTGTGGGGTGTGCACAGATGCTCGTGGTTGTGTGCCAGGTGTGTGCACTGCCAGAGTGTCGGAGGTGTGGGGAGTGTGCACGTGTGCCCGGGGACCAAGCGCTTAGTGCAGGCATGTGTGGGGCGTGCAGGGGCCGGGTGTACAACACAGAGACTATACAGAGGACAGGGAGGGTTGCAGCGGAGAGTGTGCAGGGGGACACCTGTCGCCTGGCCATGTGGTTTGGCCTGAATTTCCAGGAGGGTCCGAGGTTGCCTTTCCAGGGGTAGGAGGTCTTCTCAGGTTACAGAGGCCAAGGGGCCACTGTAGGAGTTGCCCTGGGGCCCGCTGGGCTGGGGGAGCGGGTGTAAGCCGCCCAGCCTCCCATAGCCCTCAGTGGGCTTGTCCTCCTGCTTCAAGGGCCTTCCCAGGACTGCCCTCCACTCCAAAGGACTTCTGGAAGGACCCCCCGCGCCAGCCCCCCGGGAACGGGCCTGATGCTCCACCGATTTCTGAGGAAATTCCAGCCCAGCCAAACCAGGGGCTTCCAGCTGATCATGGGTCCACATCGGGTCACCCGTGCCGAAGGAATGGGGGGCAGGCTAAGACTCCTCCCTGCAAAGCCTCAGGGGCCCCACGGGTGGGGGGAGGGCCTGAAGGGGCCGGGGCCCTGGTGTGTCCACTTAGCAGGGAGCAGGGGGAGGACTAGGTGCCCAGTAAATACCCGCTGGGCAGCAGGGAGGAGGTGCCCAGGGCCCGGCTGCCAAGGAGTCTTCCTCGAAGGCTCTGCCACTGGGGCTTCGTGCCCTGCCGTTCAGCCCAGGTCACTGGAGAGCTTTCTGGGTCAAGAGGCGTGTGGCTGCTGCCAGTCAGGCCGGGAGTGGTCCCAGACCCCGCGTAGGAGAGAAAGGTCACCGTGGGCGGGTGGGGGCTTCCCTTGGACAACTATATGGACAGTGTGGACAAAAGTGTCTGGGTCTGAAGATGACAAATGGGTGGAGGCGCCAGCACAGGACCCAGAAGGAGGGCTGCCCTGTGAGACCAGTGTGACCCCCTGCTCGCCCCTCCTGCCTCGACACCTCGGCCCAGTGCACCCTCAAGTGCAGGGTTCACGCGTGCGTGGCGCACTCAGGACGGCGTCCAGAACAAAACTCCATGGCTGGGAGTGAGGCTCAGTCAGGCAGCCCAGCACTCGAGAACCCCGAGCCCCCCGGAGCCTTGGTACAGGCTGAGTGCGGCTGCACTGCAGCCCCCCTGCCTGTATGTGGCAGCCCTGTCCCAGGGAACCTGGGAGCGAGGCCAACTCCTGGGCTCACGAGGGGTGCCGGTAGTGCTGTCCCACCCTGGGCTGTCACGGTGTCCCTGGGGTGAATGACGTGCAGTCTAGGCTGTGCCTGGTGCTCTGGGGCCTCCACGCGGCAGCTGGGGCAGAGGCGGTGCTTCAGTGGCCGGAGTTACACATTAACTTATCCTGTTCTTGCTTAACTTGCTCCCGGGGATGGCGGCAGCCTCTGACCCGTCCCGGTGCCCTGACTGACTGGCCACAAGCACAGAGAGTGAATCCTGCCCAGCCCTTGAGGGATCAGTCTGCTCGGCCAAGGAGCCCCGGGGAGCCGTGGGTGGCACCAGTGTCCAGCCTGCCTCGAGGAGGCCCCGGCCAGACCATGGCAGGTAGATGGTCAGAGAGGGATGGGCACGGGCTCCACTCCCACCTCCTGCCCCTCAGGCTGGCTCCACGCTGCAGTGTGGCCTGGCCTCTCTGCTTGGCCTCAAGCCAGGAGTACGAAGACCTCGGTCTGCCCCTCCCCTATGGCCCGGGGTCCTGACCCCATGTTTAGAATGGGCCCGCACCATCTCCTGCCCAAGGCCTCTAGACCAGGCTCGTGGGGGTCAGTAAAGCCCAGGGATACTGGGAGTGGGTGCTGGTGGGGGGCCATTGGGGGCGGGCTGCTGGGAGACCACACTACCAAGATGATGGCGGTCTTATGACTACCGGCTCCGGCTCATCACCCCAGTTTAAAGATGAGAAAGTTCAGATCTTGGGGAGGTGAGAAGGCTTGCCTGTAGCCAGGAGTAGAGGGTCCTGGAACCACCAGCTCTGATACTGGGTGGAAGGTGCTGATGCCGAACCCGACTCCCCCAAACCACTGGTGTCCAGCAGAGGGGCCGGGGCCTGGGCATCAGAGCAGTGGGCGACAGGTACACACAGGAAATGTGTGCTGGCTCACGTCCTGGATAGACAGGCAGCTAGGCGGGCCCTGCTGAGCTGGAGGGCGGTGCTGGGTCAGCTCAGCCATGACTCCGTGCTAACATCTTCTCTGGGGACTGGCAGCCACATCCAGGGCAGGCAGAACACATACGAACCAGCTGCTGCTGGGGTAAGATGTTCCAAATGCCAGGCCCTGTCCCCCGTGGGACTTGTGGACAGACATGGTGTGGTTACCAAGCAGCACATGCCACTGGCCACCTTGGTTTTTTCCTGGCCCACAGACCATCTGTGGGCACAGCTAACCCACTCGGTCCTCTCTCTGCAGGAGCCTGCGACAGAGCCCCTGACTTCCTCTCCCCATCTGGAAACCAGGTCCTGTGGCCTGCCCTGGGCAGTGTGGTCACTCTGAACTGCACAGCCTCAGTGGTCTCTGGGCCCCACTGCCCCTTGCCCTCAGTCCAGTGGCTGAGAGATGGGCTGCTGCTGGGCAATGGAAGCCACTATGACCTCCATGAGGACTCCTGGTAAGAGATGAGGGTGTCCAGGGTCAGGTGACCATGCTGGATATACCCACCCCCAGTGGCCTCTCTGACCTACACCCTGGTCTGTAATCACCTGGACGTGGGCTGGGGAGTGACTGGCCAGACATGACATGGGCAGAGTGCCAGTCTGGATGCACACTAAGAGTCAGTGACTGTAGGAACAGATGGCCCCTCTAGACACTCACCTTGTAGACCACCCAGGGCCATGGGTGCCAGCAGAGTCCTACAGCCTGAATCACTCATTGACCGTCGGGCCAAGCCTAGGATCTGAGGACCCCCAGGACCCAGACCCAGGATTAGGGTGACTGTCCCAAAAGAGATCCACACCCCCTTCACGTTCTGGCCATTTCTCTTAGCTTATGGCCCAAGGACTGCCCAGGAGGCCCAAATCTGCAGCCTCTCTGGGTGAGTCCCAGACAAGTGGAGCTCTGGGGCATCCGGTGATGCTGTCGGGCCCCAGGTGAGGGGGTGGGGCCTGGTCTCCCCAGGGTCAAGGTCAACTGGTCAGAGGTGCTTGTGTCCAGTGTCCTGGGGATCAACCTGACCAGCACTGAAGACTTCAGGACCTTCACCTGCTCCGTCCAGAACATCAGCTCCTCTTCCTTCACTCTTTGGAGAGCTGGTGAGTGGCGTCCAGTGGGGCAGAAGGTAGGAGGAGGCCTGGGGAGCCTTTAGGCTTGGAGGGTGCTGGGCTGGCTCAGTCAGTGGCTCTGTCCCCAGGCCTGGCTGGACACGTGGCCGCGGTGCTGGCCTCACTTCTGGTCCTGCTGGTCCTGCTGCTGGCAGCGCTGCTATATGCGAACTGTCGCCTCAATGTACTGCTCTGGTACCAAGACACGTATGGGGAGTTGGAGATGAACGGTGCGTGGCAGCCACGGGGCCTCCCTAGGCTCAGCTCTGGGTGGGGGGGGATTGGCTCTGGAGGTGGGGGCGAGGAGGCATCCGTCCCTGGAGGGCACTGTCGAGATCCCAGTCCAGGAAAAGGGGGTGTCTCTGTGCAGCCCAGGAGGGCACAGGGCCGGCAGAAGGGGGCCACGGTAGCCTGGTTCCAGGGCTCCACTCGGAATCCCGTGGTGAGGAGGGGTCTAAGCGGGACCCGGGGCCGAGATCTGCTGGGTCTGCGTCTGGGGGGCTGGCCTGGACCCTGGGGCACAAGGGGGTAGGTTTAGGGGGCCCCGAGGGTGGCAAGCCTAGGCCTGGAAAGCGGCCGCGCTGACCCGCCGCCGTCCGCAGACGGGAAGCTCTACGACGCCTACGTCTCCTACAGCGACAGCCCCGAGGACCGGAAGTTCGTGAACTTCATCCTGAAGCCGCAGCTGGAGCGGCGTCGGGGTTACAAGCTCTTTCTGGACGACCGCGACCTCCTGCCACGCGCGGGTACCGCGGCGCCCTGCCCCTTTCCGCTCGGGCCCAGCCCCGATCCGGGGCGCAGGCCCCGCCCCTGTTCCGGCCCAGACCCCGCCTTTCCAGGGCCACGCCCCTCAAAGCCCGCCTCCTCCCCGTCCAGGCCCCAGCCCCATCTCTACTCGGGTCCCGCCCCTGTTCCGGCCCAGATCCCGCCTTCCCAGGGCCACGCCCGCTCGGGTCCTCCTCAGACCCAGGCTAGGGCCCCGCCCCTTCTAGGGCCCCGTCCGCACCGACCCCGCCGATGCCCGGGTTCCCGCAGAGCCGTCGGCCGACCTCCTGGTGAACCTGAGCCGCTGCCGGCGCCTCGTCGTGGTGTTGTCCGACGCCTTCCTCGGCCGGGCCTGGTGCAGTCACAGCTTCCGGTGGGTCCCGCGCGGGGCTGGGTGGGCCCCAACTGCGCCCCCCCTGACGGTGCCGCCCTCGCAGGGAGGGCCTGTGCCGGCTGCTGGAGCTCACGCGCAGACCCATCTTCATCACTTTCGAGGGCCAGCGGCGCGACCCCGCACACCCTGCGCTGCGCCTGCTGCGCCAGCATCGCCACCTGGTGACCCTGCTGCTCTGGAGGCCCGGTTCCGTGGTGCGGAGGGGCAGGGGGCGGGGAGGGAGGGGGCTTGTGGATGGGAGCCCGTGGGTGGAGGTGCCATGGTCAGCCGCCCAGAGGAGTGGGCTCTTTGGGGCCAAGGAGACCAGGGTCTTTCCGTGTTGGCACCCCCTCACCCCCCCTCAATTGTTCACGCTCGCTAACTGCCCCACCTTGGCTTCCAGACACCTTACTCCGATTTTTGGAAAGAGCTACAGTTGGCGTTGCCACGGAAGGTGCAGTACAGAGCGATGGAGGGAGACCCCCAGACCCGGCTGCAGGATGACAAGGACCCCATGCTGATTGTGCGAGGCCGGGTCCCAGAGGGTCGGACCCTGGACCCGGAGCTGGACCCTGACCCTGAGGGGGACTTGGGTATGCCCACCGGCCCCACCCCTGACCCTGAGAATCTCAGCCTGAGTTGGAGGGGGGCTGCATAAGGTGGAGCCCCAAAAAGGGTCCAGGCGGCAGGGACTGCTCCCTGCAGCCCGTGGATGGGCTTAATTCCCAGCACCTCCCACTGCCTCTTTCCATGAAGGCGGTCGGGCCCGGGGCCTGACTGGGAACCTCCAGGACCTCAAATGCTACCACGCAGGAGGGGCAGCAGGGAGTGACCCTGGCAGAAGGCAGGCTGTGGGCAGCCCAGCCTCAGGCCTGGCGGTACCCCTCCCCAGGTGTACGAGGGCCTGTCTTTGGGGAGCCAGCAGCTCCACCGCATGCAAGTGGGGTCTCGCTTGGAGAGGGCCAAGGCAGTGAAGTGGATGTGTCGGACCTTGGCTCCCGAAACTACAGTGCCCGCACGGACTTCTACTGCCTGGTGTCGGAGGATGACGTGTAGCCCCTGCCCCCTGGAGCAGCAGATTCACCAGGGACAGCTGGGGCAGGGCTGGGGTGGGTTTTTTTCCCACTCAGCAGGACCACGGGCCCTGCCTACCTGCAGCCTTGGGACCTCGGGGAAGGGGAGTGGGCCCAGCGACCCTCCTTGTGCCAGAAATAAAGTCCTTTGGGTCCTGCCCAGGTCTCAGCCTCTCCTCCCCGGGGGCAGGAAGGGGGTGTGCAGTGTTCTGAGCAGAGCTCCCCACCCCTCACTTTCGTCTCAGGCACTCCAGGCCCTGGATCCCTCCCTTTTCTCGCTCCGTGGCCGCCTGGTCACCGCACCTGGGTGTCCACTCAAGCCCACTCTCCCCGTCCTCCTCCGTCCCGAGCCAGCTGAGGCGTGTCTCTTGCAGCGGCCTCCTCAGGTCTCCCTGCTTGGGGCTGTGACTGTTCCCAGTCCCACTGTGATCCAGACAGTCCCTGGGGGGCAGGCCCCTTAGAGACTTCGGGTTCTGAGCTTTGCAGAAAAAGCCTGTTGTAAAAATGTCAGTGGGAACTTTACAACCAAAGGGCCTGGCATGGTGAGATGGAGAGAGGTCCCAGAACCTACTGGACCCCAAGCCTCAGACAGCATGAGTATACCTATCAGGGCACCTGCAGGGCCAGGAAGGCAGGGCAGGGAGAGGTGTTGGATGCATCTGCCACGTGAGCACAGCCCGGCAGGGCAGCACCGACGCCAGTAGGAGTCACAGCTGCCCCAGAAGTGCTCGTTCCTCTGCACACAAGGTCCCCAGCTCTGCTGCTTCTGCGTCTCACTTGGCTTGAGGCTGCCTCTGCTGTCTGCCCCATCTCCATTCTCTCCGCCAGCTCTCCTGCTGCTGGACATGCCCTCCTCCCTGTCCTGGGTCCCCTGACCTGGAGAGGCCTGTGTATGGGCCCAGGGGGGAGTGTTCTAAGGGGCAGGCATGGTTGCAGGCATGGTTGCTCTTGGGGACATTGCTGAGTCCTTGGGTCCGACCCCGAAGTCTGACGAGCCAAAGAAACATGAGGGGCTGCGGCTGCTGTGTTCACGGCCACCTTTATTCCCATTGCTGGCTGTCCCGAGGCACTGCTGGGCCACAGCGAGTGCCACCTCTGCCAGTGTGACCTGGCCACCACCCCACGCATCAGAGCAGCCTCAAGCCCTGCCCCACCCCCTGCCCTGCAGAAGCCAATTCCCCAGCCGCAAGCCCCTGTCCCCTCCCCCGTGGCCCAGGCCTTCAAATTGCACGCGGATGGGGCTCCAGCGAGAGCCCCTGGGCCATCATCAGCCTTCTCCAGGCCAGCTGGCGAGCAGCCCCGAGCTGAGCCCTTCCCTCGGAGGAGGGTCACATCGCACACTCCTCCAAGGGAGTCTTCGCCTACGGGCCCAGGAAGTCTTCCTTTCGGTAGCCCTTCTGTGGCGGAGAGGGGCCTGGAGTCAGGGCGCTGCTGTTCTGCATCCTGTCCCCCCGGGTGTGCTGGAAGTGGGCCCCTGGTCTTATGGGTGCCCTGGGCCACGTGGGTTTCCGTGTCCTTCCCTGCCATCCTGTGCCCACGTCCCACACTCACAGCCCCGCCTGCCCTGGGCCGCGGGAACATACCGCCCGGAAGTCTCGGTGGAGCTTGTTGTACTGCCACAGGTTGGCCAAGAGGTTGGAGGCTGCCCGGGAGGACTTCTCACTGTCAGGGCTGGGGGGGTAGGGGGCAGGGGTCAGTGGGGTGACAGGCTTGGCCAGAAGGCGGGGCAAGCTGGGGGGCGGGGGGGGGCACGGAGCTGGGCCCTGACCTGTCCCGCTTTTTCTTGATGAAGAACAGCTTGTGGAGCCCGTCAAAGTAGAGCAGGTCTCGGGCGGCCACGGGACTGGCCACCAGCAGGTTGTTGAGGATGGCTATGATGTTCACCAGCACGTCGGCCGGGGGAGAGCTCTCAGCTGGGCTGCCGGGCAGCTTCTCGATCAGGTGGCTCACCACCTTGGTGGCTGCCAGCAGGTCGGGGTGGTCAGTCTCCACTGCCCGCCCCCTGCCCCGCCCCCTCGGCACCTGCCATTCCGCGCTCCCCCAGGGAGTTGGCGCGCCTGTCTGTCCACCGGCTCTGGCTTCCCAGAAGCCGGCCGGAGAGGCAGCAGTACAGACAGAGCCCAGGCACGCGCCCAGCCCCCAGGGGAGACAGAGCCCAGGCCTCGGGTCAGCTGGACTCACACAGCTCATCCTTGTTCCTGGCATTCCGAGACAGGTTTCGGATGAGGCCAGTCAGTGAGCGCAGCTGGTGGTGGTCAGCGGTCCGAACTCGGTCCAGCAGAGGGTTCAGGATGCGTTCCTGCTCCAGAGCCAGCCGGCTCAGCACGCCCGCCCACTGCCGGCAGGAGAGGGGCTGGTGAGAATGGGTGCTGGTGCCCCGTGGAGGCCCCGGGTCTGCTCCCTCCTGGCCCAACCCTCCCGGCACCTTCCTTAATCTCGGTGCAGACCCCGGGGGCCGGAGGTGGCATCCTCCAGCCACATCCTGCCTGCCTTCCTCTCTCGCTCTGAAGTTCTGCCCCCCCGATGCACCGTAAAGTCCAGGAGAGCAGGCTCCTGTCCCCCGTTCACCCCTTGCGTCCCCAGTGCCTCGCGCCCCAGCGCGTGGCCAGGTGTGGTCCCAGGCCACCTCACCCTGCGGTCGCCTGCGGTGATGTTCTGCAGCGCGCCGGCAGCCGCTTCCGTCGTGTGCCGGTTGAGCTCACAGCGCTGCAGCAGCCGGTTGTACAGCGCCACGACCTGGGGGCTCCACAGCCACTCCAGGCCCTTGGGGTCCTTAGACACCTCGGTGAAGGTGAGCGCGTCGGCCGTGAGGGACAGCTGGGCAGGAGGGTGTGGAGGGTCAGCTGAGGTCACGCGGGATCCCTGCTTCCGCCCGCCCCCTGCCCAGGCCCGCACCCACCTGTCGGAGCCGCCGGCTCTGTGGTGTGAAGCAGCCCACTGCCTCGCCTGGCAGCGCCCCTGCCGCATCCCGGCGGCCTCGGCCCTCCAGCCGCTGCAGGGCCGACGGTGGCATCTCGTCGTACAGGCGGTAGGACAGGTTCCTGAGCACGCACACGGCGTTCTCCACGCTCTGTGGACAGAGGGCGGACCTCGGTCAGAGCAGGCTGGAGCCCCTTGGGCCCCGGGGCACTGGCTGAGCCTCACCTTGTCCTCGCACTTGCCCACATCCAGGGCGTGGTTGATATAGGTGACCAGGGAGTCCACCAGCCCGTGGCACTCACGCATCTTCTGGCGAGTGGCCTGGGAGGCCGAGCTGAGGTTCCTTTGGATGGAGGCAGATCAGAGACCCCCACTGGGACCACAGGCAGAGCCCACCCCACAGGGACCCACCCAAGGCTGAGATCCTGAGCACCGATCCCCTCCCTCCCCCGAGCTGGGCCCTGCCCCTCGGCACCTCCGCGTGCCCATCCCCCATCCACTTCTCAAAGTGTCCGGGGCTCGGGGAGGTTATAAATATCAGATCAAATCCCTGATTTAAAGAAATCTGAGCCTGCAGCCCCCAGTCTGTTGACGTCTGGCCGGGGGCCGCACCTGGCGGCCCGTTCCTCTCCCGCGTCAGCGCCTCTGCCTCTCTGTCCACTTCTCCCAGACCCCCACCCCCGGTGGCCCCGCCTCGTCATTCAGACCTCAGACCCTAACGCCCCTTCTCTGGGCCTCCCCTGCCTGCCGCCCATCGCACCTGAGGAAGCCCGTGGCATTGTAGAAGGTCTCTGCTTCCGAGGCGTCCTGCTGGGCGGGGAGCGGCCCACTGGCCCCTGAGAAGGGGCTCAGCACCAGGTCTGTGAGCTGCTCCAGCGTGTCTCGGGCCAGGCGGTCCTTCAGGTGGTCACTGGAGGACAAGTTCCATAGGATCCCTGTGGCAGGTGGGGCGAGGCCGTGGTCAGGGACAGCCCTCCAGCCCCTCGGCCTCTTCCGGGGATGGTACCCAGCGTCCTGCCTGGCACTTGGAGCCTCACCCAAGAGCCTCGCTGGGGAGAGCCTGAGCATGACGTGTAGGGTCACGGGGCCGCAACAGCGCAGAGAGGAGGACGCCTGGGGACATGGGGCCTGGGGCTGGAGCCCAGCTCCAAAGAGACATGCCACAGGGATGGCTGTGGGGGCTGAGGGAAGGGTGGCAGAGTGGCGGGCGGGGAGCAGGGCCACCTGTGACATTCTTGCGCAGCTCGTCGTCCTGCTCGCGCAGCGAACGCAGCAGCTCGAAGATGCCGTCCTCCTCCACCAGGGCCAGCTTGTTGTCCGCGTTGTCGTAGACAAGGTTGCGCATGGCGCCCGTGGCGTGGCGCTGCACCTCCTGGTTGGCGTGGTTGAAGAGCTTCACCAGCCTGGCCACAGCCTGAAGGCTGCGGGCCTGTGGGCATAGCCACACGGGTGTTAGCGCTTGTGTACACGCTGCATACGTATGTGCAGACGTATGCGGGTGTATACAGATGTGTGAGTACACGCAGGTGTATGGAGATGTGTGCAGAAACATGCAGACATGTGCAAGTGTGTGCAGGTATGTGTAGGTATATGGAGATGTGTGCATACACATACAGGTGTATGGAGATGTATGCAGGTGTGTGCAGATGATGTGTACAGAAGCGTGCAGGTGTATAGAGATGTGTGCATACTCATGCAGGTGTATGGAGATGTGTGCAGGTGTGTGCAGAGGTGTGCAGAAGCATGCAGGTGTGTGCAACTGTGTGCAGGTAAGTGCAGGTATATACAGACGTGTGCATACACATACAGGTGTATGGAGATGTATGCGGGTATGTGCAGATGCGTGCAAATGTGTGCAGAAGCGTGCAGGTGTATTCAGATTTGTGCAAGTCAGTCCCTCCTGCCCCTCCTCTGCTGAGGAGGCCCTGGGCAGATGGGGTCTGCCCAGGCAGCTTGGGGATCAGTGAGGGGTGGTCAGGGACCAGACAGAGGACAGTGAGTGGAGGGGGGCCCATGAGGGTGGTAAGCAGGGGTGGTCACCTGCTTCTTGGCTGCTGTGTCACTGTAGCACTTGTGCTGAATGTAGGCTGCTCCCAGCACCTGCAGGTTGGGATCTGAGGCCATGAGGTACTTGACTGCCGAGGGCAGGTCAATGTCATCAAACCTGCAGAGAAAAGAGACAGGTCAGGCTGAGCCTGGGGACAGACCAGGGTTATGGCAGAAGCCCCCTC